TGGTGGTCTTAGGAATGTCTTCAACTTCAGACTCCATCCTTGCAGTTTCTTATTTCTGCATAATAATTTCACTTATTCTTGTTCTCTTTGCAGAGATTTGCCCATCTCCACAACTTCAGACTTCCTTTTCCTTACCTGCTCTTCTTTCTTTCTTTTTTTAATGCTTTCCTTCTCCTTTTCAGACATCTAGAAAGATGTATAGTAATAGTAATGCTCTCTTCTACAGACGATTGGTGCCATTTTTCTTCAGAATAACTTATGACTTCACTTAGTGTGTAAAAAATTTGGTGTTCTGCTTAATGTCTGTCCTTTGAAGCCAAGGTAAACCAACACAACAGAGCTGAATTAACATTGAGAGCTATAAAATATTCTTTTCTACAGTAGCAGCGTAAGAAGGCAACATACTTAGGGAGAGCTAATATTTGGGAATGAACAGCTGAAGTGTAACTGACTACACACTAAACCTTCTTTGTATAAACAGACACTGTAGCCAGAAAAACATACAAGCCAAGGGTATGCTGCCAATTTCAAAATTCAGGTTTCTCCAGAAGCAAATCTCTCCTAGCCACTGAAACAAGCCAACTACTAGAAACATACAGTTGAATCCTTCAGACTGGGCATAAAGTATTTTCCTCACAGCATCCCCTCATCTCTTCTTGTCTTAATTCCTGCTCCGTAACTTCAGCATCACATTATCCATGAATCAAAAACTGGCCTTCACATTTCTTGCCTACTCACTTCGTTGCATTTTTCTACCCATTTTTCTTGAGGTGAAAGAATTCATTTTCCAATGGTGTGCTCTACCTGCTCTCTTTCCTTCTGTAAACACTAGCTGTACTTCCCTCACTTGCTATTTCTGCCAGAGGTTGCCCTACCTCTTCTCTTTCTTCACATCACAAGGTTCTTCTGGAAAAGACTTCCGAGACTCCCACCACTTCTTAGCATCTAGACAGCAGGAGAGGATTTCCTTCATGAGAGAGAAACAGTTAGTTAAGGAGAGGTTAGCTCATCTCCTTGTTTCATACTACATCTTGTGCAGGCCCAGAGGATGATCCCCCCTCCTAGTTCATCTGCCTGTGCTCAGGGTCAGCACCCTGGCATGGAGCAACATCTCCCGTGGGTCCAGACTGCTGAGAGCAAGCTCTAAGAAACCACAAGGGGAATCTCCCCTCCCTCACGCAGAGAACTGTGTTTAAGAAGAGGTTCTTGCCCCTGGTATCTGCCTTCATGATATTGCAGCCATGCCTATGCCAGACCCTAACCTGCAGACTTGGACTTGATATCCTTGCTTGACCTTGGACCTGCCTTGACGGTATAGACTTCCCTGGTGGCTACTGGGCTAGCACTGACACTGGTTACTGTCACCAGACCTGACCCTGACCTGCTGATTCTGCTTTTCAGTTTCATATTGGACCTACCTCATTGCAACGGGTTTGTCTGGCTATCCGGACTCTTGACTGAACTTGGCTACACGCAGCTCTACTCACCTTTGTCAGGTGTGTGGGGCCTCACCTGACTTATGATCACTCTCAGCTCCACTCCCTTTATAAAGCAGCCTGCCCTTACTCCTCCTTGACATTCCTCCTCTTGCACTTCTGGCTGCTGGGGCCATGAGGCCACTACCAAGCCTTAAACACCCTGACCAGCCTCAGCTGCAACGCACCCCCTGCCCCCCCCCCTCCAACCCTGCCCAAGGGCCTGGAGCTTTATCTAAGCTCAGCCTGGGGCTACTAGTCCTTCCTTTAGAGGTACTGTGGGGTGCTGGTCTCTGGTTCAGCTACGGCCCTGAGCGGGCTACAGGCCCTGCTGACCCAGATCTGCAAACTGACATTCTGTCCCAGCCTCAGCCCTGCCTCATCACTATGGATTGCCTGATGATTTGGATTCTTGGGGGATCCTAACACCCTCCCCTGGACTTCTTTGTTCAGGTACTGCCAGGTGGGCCTTGGCCAGAAAGGCTCCTGCTTTGCTAGCCCTGGGGTCCCCCTTGGCTCCCTGGCTCTTAGGGAGCAGCTGGCCCTTGCTGTACCCTGACAATGGTTTGGCTTCCTTTCCTCGTGTGCCCCCTGCCCTCTTTTTGCCCCTTCCACTTTACTTGAACTATTTGTTTAAAACAAACAAACAAACAAAGATATTAAGACAAGTTCTAAGGCAGCTCCACAGGCTCTCCAGGTAAGTGAAATGGAGTAACAGAGTAACCTGGGATTCGGACTATAAAACACAGCACAAAACTCTTCTGTGGGCTCAGTTGTATGAATTTTTTTTATTCCTGGTATACTGTAAGAATGCATGCTGTCCATATTTATCACCAGAAAAAGAGAATAGCTATTTCTTGTAGAGAACTGCTGATGAACTGCTGTCCTTGTGCACTGCATATTTAGTCACCCTTAAACTGAAGGAGGTACATTAAATTCAAAGACAAAGACCTACTTTATGCATGGAAAACATCAAATATTTACAAATATTCAAATACTACTTTTGGAGGCTACCTGAAGAGCTGCAAAATTTAATTTGAAGGATTTTTATAAAAAATGTCCTTCAACTTACCCCTTATTCAGAGGTGAATAGGACTTCTTTATGTTCATGTATCTATAGCCGCTGAATCAAAATACACATGAGAGAACAGGAAAGTAAAACACATCTTAGCTGCTTTGCGTGACTTGCAATGCCTTCTACGTCATGCCTATTCCTCATGCAGCATCCTATATTTCTAGATGTCCCTTGATCATTCTGCCATCCCAAGTACCTGTGTGCTCCACTTCCAAATTCTGGCTATGATCAAAGATGTAGAAGAAATCAAGGCCGCTCCATGTAGGTCCAGTGCTCTTACTATTTGGCTGCTTACTATACGATTTCTGCTACACATTTACTGTTTGTCTTGTGTGTCTCTTTTTTTTTCTCTAACATAGAAACATCACACAGGATACAACATGAGATCAATACACCCAACCCTTCTTACAAGAAAGGACAAGGAAGTTCTATGTGTGAGATTTCCAGACATCCAGACATAGTCTGGAAAATGGATAAAATTATATCGCTGGACTATTCCATGTTTTTTGAAATTCAGTGTGCAAATCTGAAAGTTGTGATATTTAAAAAAAAGTCTATTAGAGTAGACTTGCTTAGAATATTGGCTTCTCCCCCCACCCCTGGAAAAAGTGTCTGTCTCAGACTTAGAAAGAATTGTGGGGATTGAGAATTGGTGAACAGTAGCAAACTAAGAGTGAAGAGACTTGTATGTTCCTCCTATGTTTTTTGTTACTATATACAGTTCTCTTACTATTTTATGTTTTTATCTCTACATTTTAGTATCATCTTAACTGTTACTGATTTAGTACGCCTTTCAAGTAATGTCAATAAAAGGGTGTTAGAAGTTTTAATAACATCAGTTGAAGGGTACTACAAGTCCCTTAGGAACTGTAATAGTCTTCCACTGATGGTACTGAAAATAGTATTATTTTATGGTTCTGAGACAGTTATCGGCTTATCCTTGCCTGTACCTTATGAGAAATTATCTGGTGACAATATTTAATATACATAGATGGGATAGGCTAATAAATGGTCCCAGAAACAAATACAAATGACTGCAGGGGATTATAAAGGGCATACAGCCTCAAAATTGATTCAACTATATCCAGTTTCATGTTGCGCTTTATCTTCTAGTTAATGATTTAGCTTTCCTTCTGAATGACATCAATGCAAACACATTAAAGATCACCGATGTCAAATAACAGACACAAGTTTAATTGGTTCCTTTACTGTTGTACCAGAATGATAAAGTGTTTGTTTGGCTCACAGTTTTTCCTGCCTTGTCACTCAGTTATCTTTAAGCAAAAGAATGTATTTTGCACAAAACTTCCACAGTTTACACATAATTTCAATTATTTACACTTTATTTTATCTGATTACTCTGCCATGAAGATATTTATATTCCAACAAAGAAGATCTAGGGGACAAAAAATATTGACACAATTAGAGTCAGAATAAGACTATTGATGCTAACAGCTTTAAGCAAGCAGAAACTTTACATGGTCATGTTATGATTCAAAAAGGCAAACTGGCGAGGACCACATTTCGGTGAAAGCTGTATCAATGGCTCGATGCAAATTGAAAAGCACTTAGAGGTTGCATATTTAACAAATATTCAGAGCCTTCTTTAAACGTGGCAAAGTAATAGGTGGAAATAAGCTGTACCATAGTGACTTTTAAAATGTGTCTTAAAACGGTCTTCTCAGCTACATAATTATCAGCTTGGTACAGGTTTTATGGAACTATAAAGGAAGGCAGCTTAACAGTCATGGAATCATGTATCATCTCATGGACTCTCGGCTGGTTTGATTGCAGACAACCAGATTTCCTAACCTGTAACAGCATTTCTCTTCTAGGGAGACAAATGTCACAGGAATAGCCTTGGATATTTTGACATGCAGTTTGAACTGTAATATCAATCTGCAAAAGGCAATATTTTTCATTTACTGATTTATTTCTCAGAGGGACATTGTATATTTGTCTTATTACAAATACTAAAGATAAAATTACTAAACTGCTCGTTTAAAAATGTCCTTTTCACGCACTGCTAAGCCACCATGGCATTATACGACTCGGAACTAAAAAGCCCTTGCTGTTTTCCTTCAAGTTAAGCCCTTACAGGCTCAGGAGCACCTTACAAACTGGAGTTGATGCCGGAGGCCTAATGTGATTGTCATCAGTGAATCTTACAGCACCTGTGAGTAAAGCTGTCACACCTCCAAAGAGGCAAATCTATCATTTACAGAGCAGGAGCAAAGTGGTGGTCTCCCGCCTCTGCATTTAAGCTTTGAGGGGGAGGGATGACGATGCAGCCTTCTGGGTGCGCTTTCTGCACTGGCCCGCTTGATACAGAATCTAGTGTTGTGCGAGTTTGTGTCGGATTCTGAGTCAGCGTGTTCCACAATCGTTACGAAGGGTATGTAAAATTGCGATACCTCCACCCAGGTTTACGATAACGCTCTGTTTTGCAGCACGAACGTCAGCGTGGTTTTTATCTTAAGTCTAAGCCCCAGGCACAACCCGTGAAAGACTCGACCTTTTTAGTACGAAAGGGCTCCTCCAACTTGGTGTCACACTTCTCTAAAGCGAAGCAACAGCCGCATTGTATTACGGTGGTAGAAAAGCAGAAGACACGGGGGACTCCGCCAACGACAGTGAATTTCCTCAGCCGGAGCATTCCTGCGCTGCTCTCCTTGGGGAAGCGAGCGTCGCTCAGGAGAGCACGGCCCGTCAGGAGCCGGGCTGCCTCTTGACC